GAGGGGAGAAGATTGGAAATCTGATACCTGGCCGCTGGAGATCCAATCTGGGAACTGCCCCCAGCTAAATGGCGAGAATGTTGAATCAAGATGGCAGTGGTCTGCTTTCAGTGCCAGGCTGTCTGGTGAGGTGGAGGGAGTCTGGTGAGGTAGGGGGAGCCAGGCGATGACGTTGTGTTGTGGGTAGGTAGCAGCTGGGAGCAGAGCGAAGTCTTGGTGATGTGAAGATGTGTTGATAGGTGGTTCTGATAAGGCGCTCAGCAAGTCTTGCGTGGACTGGAACCTCGGGCTTTGGGTCCTGCTCCAATGCCGGGTGTCCTACCGGAAGGCTGAGGCCTGGAGCCCCACGTGGGGTCATAGCGCTGGTGATTTCTGTGGAGAACAGCTGGATAAGGGTCTTCTAACACTCTCGGAGATGTAGTACTCTGACTAGGCAAGATCTGTGGGTCTGGCTGTGCAGGCACAGGGTGGCTCGCTCCCTTCCTGCCACCATGTTGGATTCTATTTCTACTTTTTTTCCTAGTTGGTGTGGATACTATCATAAAAATCATCACCTGTACCAATATTTGAAGAGATTTCTCTGTTTTCTTCCATTAGATTTATAGTTTCCCATGTATCTAGAGCTAACTGATTCAAAAAAAATTGCCAAAAATACATTGTAGTCAGGATAGACTTATCAATAACTGATGTTTGATGGATATCCATATACAGAAGATTGGAACTTAACCTCTATCTCTCACCCCATTAAAAAATAGTCATGTCAGCCTGGCACAGTGGCACACACCTGTAATCCCAGTAGTTTAGGAGATTGAGAAAGGAGAATTGCGAGTTCAAACCCAGCCTAAGAAAAAGCAAGGTGCTAAGCAGCTCAGTGACACCCTGTCTCTAAATAAAATTTTAAAAGGGCTGGGGATGTGCTCAGTGGTCAAGTGCCCCTGAGTTCAATCCCCAGTACCAAAAAAAAGTCACTTCAAAAATATATCAAAAACCACAATACTTATCATTCTTTTATATCTAAACATAGGACTCTCTAAGCATTTCTTGCAAAACTAGTCTGTCATGATTAATTCCTTTGGATTTTTAATTGAATTATAATTTTACATAACAGTGGGATGGAAATGACACACTCATAAATGCTCATAATGTAATTTAATCAACTTCATTTCCCTATTACTCTCCATTTTCCTTCACCATATTTCTTCAGATTCGTTGGCTGTAATTTATTGATCTCCCTTCTATTATTATTAACTTTTAAAAAGGTTTTTTATTTTATTTTTATTTATACATGACAGTAGAATGCATTATAACAGAGTATACATAGTATGGATCCCAGTCTTTTGATTGTACATGATGTGAAGTTACCATGGTCATGTGTACAAATACAAGGCTAGGAAAGTTATGACCAAGTAAATCTACTGTTTTTCATACTACCCTCCACCATTCCTTTCCTTTTTTCCTTTTGTCTACTCTAATGGATTTCAGTTATTTCCCTCTGCAATCTCTCGTTTTGGGTTAGCATCCACAAATCAGAAAGAACATTTGGCCTCTAAATTTTTTTTGGATTGGCTAATTTCACTTCATATGAGCACTCCAAAGATTCTAAGTAAGCCTGTATGTCAGGAAATACTAGAAAAAGGCCAAATGTGAATTTTGTATAGAAACTGCATGGATCTGGCTCCCTCAGTTCAACTGAATTGATACTTCCAGTTCTGTGCCTTTTTCAATTTATATGAATATTATAATTGTCCCTGAGGCTCTGTGGTGGGATTTGTTTTTATGTCAGGGTCTGTTGACATTTTGATAAGACTGAAGAACTTCCTGAAGAGGAGTAAAAGTGCCTGGACCCTGGTCAGAAGACTTTGTACAGATATGATGTTGGAAAACTATAAGAACCTGGTCTCCCTGGGGATGACATTCCCCAGAAGTTGGGATTAGCCCTGTGTATCTCTGCATTTTCCCCTTGTCTTCATAGAAACTTCTGCAATGTTGACTGAGACTGAAGTCCTGTTGCCTTAAAATAAGTTACATAGTGCACCATCTGACCTTTAATTTCCCCCTGTTCTTTGGTGTTCTTTCCACTTTATAATGTGAAATTTGTGAATCCAAAGATGAATTATAACATAAAGTTACGGCAGACTCTTAAAATATTCAAGTCCCTCTTTTGTGTCCCTATAGTTTGATTCAGTGGTTCATGGAAAAGAGGTGGATATCAAATATTACCATAAATTTTTTTCTATATCCTTCTGTAATGCCTTATTTCTCATGTAATTTTTTACAAGCAGGTATATGTCCTTTTGACTTGAATATTGTCTCCATGTTGGAGCAAGGAAGGGAGCCCTAAACTGGATGGCCACCTAGAAATATCAAGAAAACCAAATGGGTGAGAATGTATCAAATACAGGTAAGAGCTCACATGGGTAGAAGCAGCTGTGCATTAAAAAGTGTTTGGGAAATTCTGATAATCAGAGAGATCTGGGAAAGTAAAAGTTTATTTGCTTCATACTCTTTTTTTTCTTTTTGTACTGGGGTTTGAACACACAGACACTTTACTACTGAGCTATATATCCTAGTCTTTTTTTTTTTATTTTGAGACCACCATGCCCAGCTATCTTGTAGTTTTTTAGGCCTGTCACAAAAATATGTTTCCAGGGAAAAAATGACATTAGCTACATACAATAACAATCATCTTCTTTCCATCAGCAATTGGTGGTCTAGGAAAGTCTCTTAGAAAGAACAAGGTTCAAGTCCACAGCCCCACATATCTGATATTCTTTAGTGAACTGTGGTTCATTCAATATGTGTGATTGTTTATTTTCAACAGAAAACCATTCTTCAGGCCTTTGGTCAGTTTGTGGTAAGTTCAAATTTGTAACATTTATTATGTGTTCAAACTTAGAACAAGGAAGTTTTGATGCATCTTACTGGGGCAGCTAAGAAGTTGAATGATGCCTTCTTTGCTAAAGTCTATTGTCTGCTGAGCACCATGGTGCATGGCTGTAATACCAGCAGCTCAAAAGGCTGAGTCAGGAGGATTGCAAGTTCAAAGCTAGCCTCAGCAATGTAATAAGGCCCTAAGCAACTTAGCAAGACCATGTCGCAAAAGTAAAAATAAAAAAGGGCTGGAGATGTAGCTCAGTGGTAAAGTACCCTAGTTTAAAAATCCACCAACTAATAAATAACTAAAATATATTGTCAATTGTCTAAGCCAGTCATGCTTTATTCTTGTACCATTTCATGGATTTTGTTTGGATTTTTTTTGTTGTTTTTCATGATACTAGCAATTGGACCTAGGGTCACTGTATCATTAAGTCCCCAGTCCTTTCTAGTTTTTATTTTGATATAGGATCTTGCTAAGTTCTGAGACTGGCCTTAAACTTGCAATCCTCCTTACTCAGTCCCTGAGAAGCTGGGATGACAGGCACTACCACTTTGCCTGGTTTTCAATTCTGATAGTTATATAATTAGAAGTAGAAATATGGGTTCAGAAAATAATTCAATTTTTACTTGGTTAAAAAATATTTTATACTTTTTTCCCCATCATGGCTTCATCCTTTCACCTTCTCAGCAATAAGACACAAGTATCTCATGGGTCCACACCTTGTCATGGCTTCAGATTTTGATTGTTTTTGACATAAAACATCTTTATGAGTATGAAGATATGTCCTGGTGTATTTTTAAAAACTTTTTTTAAGTTGCCAATGGATCTTTATTTATTTACATGCAGTGCTGAGAATCGAACCCAGTGCCTCACACATGCTAAGCAAGCGCTCTACCACTGAGCCCCAACCCCAGGCCCTTGCTGTATTTTTTTAATTTGCATTTCCCTAATGATTAAATATAGTATCTACCTTTTCCCTGGGCTATTATCATTTGTGTATTATTTCTGGAAGTGAGTCTACCAGTGCCTTTGCCCATATTTAAAATAATTTTTTTATCATTGTCTGGCACTACTTTTTTATAATTTAGTTAACCCCTATCAAATACATGACTCTGCTATGACTACAGGACCCGACCAGCACAATTACAGACAAGGAAACGTTTATTCAGGGGCTCATAGTTTCAGGTCTGCACAGATAGACAGCAGACACCCTTCATTGGGGCTCAAGGTGAAATTGAACACCAAGGAAGAAGAGTGTGTCAGAGGAAAGCAACTCACATGGTGATCAGAAAGCAGATAAAGGTCTCCACTTGCCAAATACATATATATACCCCAGAGCTCGGGGAGGGGAGGGGACTGGCTGTAGCCTGGTATTCTCTGTCCTCGCATTCTTAGGCTAGGGCGCAGAGTCTCCTGGCCGCCAATGCCCCTCTCTTTTCCACCCAGTCGATGGCTTATGGGGTCGGTGAGTGAGGTCCTGAAATGCCACAGAGGCTACCCTGAATCCTACCCCCCCACACACCAAAAGAGACCGTTGCACTGCTCCAGAGCTGTGGAGGAGGCTCCAAGGCTGTCATGCTGAGGGGATCTCCAGGCTGGCGCTGCCTTGGGTAGAAGGACGTGTCTCCAGCCCATGGGGACCCTCTGGAAGCGCAGCGAGGGACTCCCGGGATGGTGGCTCCAGCAGAGCTCAGGGTCTTCCTCCACCGCCGCAGGGCAAACAGAGTGTGCGCAGAGCCCGCTCTCCTCTAGGAGGCTGCCTCAGGCTCTGCATAGGGGCTTGAGTAGGCTGTGTCTCCTGGCTCAGCTGCTTTACTGCCAGTAACCCGGTCATCTCCCCTTCGGTGACTGTGCTCATCTGCATCCTGCTTGGTGGCAGCTTTCAGCCGCTACCGGGTGGAAAAAGCGCAGAGCATCTGCTGGCGCCCCAGCACAGTCTCTTCCATATCAACTGCTCTAAGCACGGATCTGCAGGCCCTTGGGTGCTATGGCCAGGTCTTAGTCATCTCCTTCCAGAAAGCCAGCATCAAACCGACCTGATCTTAAAAGCTGCATGCTGCTGTGACCAAGATCCCAGTTCCAAGGCCTGGTTTTAATTACATGTTTTCCCACATTTGTATCAATGAATAACAATAAGACGTGCATCGTGGATGACATAGTACACGTCCTGGAAGAGTTAAAAAATGCTCAGGCCACGAATCAGACCAATTTTACTCTTGCATACCCAAATGATCACCCACTTGAAGGAAGGTAGGACCATATACAATGGGAACCAGCTTGGGGAGTCACTGTGATCAGCAAGGATTAGGTGAGATCTTCAGAAGCCGTTCAGCTCACCTACTACCTGCAGTCAATCAACAGTCTCAATGACGTGGCGGCTGAGCAGTGGGAGTCCAGCTTCTGCAACACTGTCAGATTGCTCCATAAATACAACAGGAAAGTAAAAATGTACCCTTCCACTTCCTCATCACTGGGAGAAGATTTCCAGAAGACCCAGCCGTGTATCAGAACATTACCTGGTCACCAGCCTTATACTGGTAGTCACCATGGCCATCCTCTGCTGCTCTATGCAGGACTGCATGTGCAGCAAACCCTGGCTAGGCCTGCTGGAGTTGGTAACCAGAAGCCTGGCCATTCTCACTGCAGCCTGGATCATCAAACTTAACTAGTGGGAAATACAATTCCACCTTCCTCGGAGTCCCTTTAGTCATACTAGGTAATGATTGCCCTTTGTTTTTCCTGTTTTCTCCTGTGAATGGTGTTTGTTAACTGTGTCCCTGAAATGTCAAGAATAGCCATATACCAAGTTCGTTTCATTTATTGTATCTTCATTGTGCCCAGAAGCCCTGGGATCCATTCTAAAAGGTGCTGCTGGTCATCATCAAGAAGCAACCTAATCTGGTACATGTGTCAGAAATGGAAAGACCAGGGTTCTAACCTTGATTTTCCATTAAGTAGCTAGCTATGTGTATTCAGCAGATGTTCATCTTTTCTCTGCCCCAGTGTTTCAGGTTGGGCTTCCTCAGAAACAGACCCTGAGACAAGGATTCAGATACAAGACATTTATTTGGGAGGCAAGCCCCCAGGAAGCACCAGTATGGCAGCAACAACGTGAGACAGGAAGGCAGACAGTTCAGATTGATGATCAGGTTACTATTCTGGGCACCTGTGGCTCAGTCCTGCTGGAGACCTTTGGGAGAAATGACAGAACACACCTCAAGCTAGGTCCTCCCTGAGAGATGAGGAAACTGTAATATATACCCAGAAACCCTGTGTGTGATTCATTGAGGGATGCTCCCCAGGGTAGTTAACTCTTCAGCACTTCCCCCAGAAAGAGTATGCACACTCCTGCAGCCAAAGAAAGCCCCCAGATGACTCTGTAGCAAGAATCTTTCAGTAAGCACAAGAATGGTGGGAGGGTAAATGAATTAGGCACTGATAATATATACACCCGCAGTTTCCCCACCTTATGGATAGGGTGGATGTGAGCAGCACACAGGGAACAAAATGTGACATCAGTAGAAACATCCACTACCACCACCACCACCACCATTTTTGCTACAAACTCAAGTGATGGTGATGGTCTTTCCAGTGTATTCACTCTAGGGGGGGAGGGGGGCCTCAGGAATTCCCTGACAGAGATAATGGTCAAAACAAAGTCACTGTGGTCAAAACATTGGTCACTCTATCCATTCAGTAACAGAGATGACACATCCACTCAACCTGATAGCAAGAGTTCCTTACAGGCCAAGGATTCAAGCAGTTAGCATTCAGCCGTTTTTGTGTCAATTTCCCATCAATTTTCCTTTAGCCAAATTAAAATGTCATTTGGAACCAGATACTAACATTACAAATGAAGTGGCATTTTTTTTGTTTACTGGGAAATAGCCATGATTGAGTTCATTAGTATGCCTTCTGCCCTATTTTGGAGTAGTGGAAAAGAAAAGAATTTCCTCAGGAAATCTCAACTGCATTATGAATAAATGATAAGCAGGGCTGGTGGGGCCTGCAAAGCCACAGAATTTCATTCTAGCCTGTATGCTCTGTGGCCTGAGGGGATTGAGGCCTCTTCAATAAACATATACTAGTAGCTTTTGTGGAAAGTGGAACAATGTGAGAAGACTGAGCAGTCTGAGAATTTGCTAAAGCAGTTTATTTATCACTGCCAAAAACAACCCAGAATGAGATTGCTGTACTTTCTAAGTCAGTCTGTTAAGAGGGCAGCATAACTTGTTTAATAATCCCAAGACTATGTATGTTGATTCTAGAATACAAGCACGTGCTTTGAAGAGTGAGTAGGACTGAATATTAGTAGCTTCCTCGGAGACTTCAGTCAAGGTTTAAATTAAGATGTTTGCTCACGATTAGTCACATGCTTAAGTGGTTGGGGGTGGGTGGAAGGATTTTTGCTTTTCATTTTAAAAATAGTGTTTTTATTGTTGCTTTTGCAAGGGAGATAGTAAGCTTCTTAAGGTGAGGGAAAAATAATATCAGAGCTAGAAAAAGCATGATTGCTGCTGGATTTATGATACTCTAAATTGTTACCATTGAGCTCAAAACACATGACAATATTTAAAGCTTCTTAAAAAATTAATTGTACTAAGTAAAATAAAATTATAATTAAAGTTTCTTAGAATTAATTTTAAGTAAAATAAAATAGCTGTATTCCAAACTTCTTAAAATAAATGTTATCAATTTGCAATATTTAATGCTTCTTAAAACTTTATCTTTGTATATTTTGAAGAAGTTTTAAATATTTTAAGTAAAAATCAACACAAAAAAAGAATATGCAACATGTGAGATATCAGAACTCGGAGGAATGTTTTAAAGTGGTGGTGGTGGTGGTGTATTCACCAGGAAATCCCTGACACAAAAAAAATGGTCAAAGCAAAGCCATCAGTTGCTCTATCTGGCTCAGGGAAGAAAGTAAGAGATGGTGGAATGGAATGATGTCGTTAGCACAGGAGTGTGTTTTTAAAACAAGTCCAAAAATAGTAAGTAGTTCCACAATCCCATAGAGACCAAGTATCACTGAACTTTATGTCAGAGTTCAATTCAGAAAAATCAGGCATTTGTAGTGAAAGAGAAGAAGCATTACAGGTGCCCAATATTCCCTTGTTTGAAATTTGTAATAAATGTTACATGCATTGATTGTGATGGCAGTTTTCACTGCTGACAATCAGTGTGCAACCTTTCTGTACATTTTCAGCCCAAAGAGTTCTCAAATTACTCAGTGATACATGAAAGGAAGCTATGCATTTTAGTAGCTGAGGCCCATTTGCAATAAATGCTTTGCACAATTAAATGAGAGCTTAGTATGCCCATAAACCTAACAGTGCCTGCATTTAGGATGGCTGCCCTTCCTGATGTATCAGACAAACTCTTCATTCTTGGAGTATGATTATAAAATGAAGTATAAGCAACAGCAGATTCACAAATTTTATATTCAAAGCCAATGTTTAGTTGTTGGGTTTTTCTTCCTTTTTTTCAAATGATCTGGCCTAAAATGCCAATAAATAGTTCAAACTATTTATTGAACTGAAGTGGTAAGAATTTGATACAAGTCAGTTAACTGTCCCATACTTAAATCTGCCTGCCCATAACGTAATAAGTGTTATGCTTAATCTAAACAGATCTAAGCAAAATTTCTTGATTTTGTAGTACATTATAAAAATAAAATATCAAACCAAATCTTATTTATTTATTTATTTATAGTGTCACTTAGGAGGAAAAATATCTTACAAAAGTTTCAAATGCAGACATTTTCTTGGTTGTTAATAGGTATATAATAAATAAACATTATAGATTTAAAATTCAACAAGCATTCTCAGTGTGATGCCAGCCACATGCCAAAATGGCAGTAGATTTAGAATAGAAAAATTTAAGACCATGTGTGTTATGCAGTATTAATCCAACAAAATTCTAGAAAAAAAAGAATTTGGATAAACTCTGAGAGTTCACCATAATGGGATATGATTATGTGTTTCCAGCCAAGATGATACGAGACACCTCTGGCAATAATATATCCTACACAGATGAATCATTTTGGCAATGATATAAGAATAGATACATCATGATTTAGAATTTTTTAATCAGTGGCATGCATATTTGACAATCCCACTTCTGCCAAAACCTCTGTCCAGATGAGTTAAATGTGTTTATATAGAGTTGAAATCGTAAGAGGTCTACAAGTATTATAAATGCTCTTTGACATTTTTTAGTTACTATAATTTGGAGAAGAGTTTCTTTTGTCTATACACCATATTATTCATAAAATAGCATACCTTTTTTCCAATTTATATTGATATTAGCTGGTGAGATACTTACCATTTGTAAATATATGATACTCATCATTTTAATCCTTTATAGAATTTTCTTTAAAGGATGAGAATACACCATTGTTCTCTAGTTGGGTGTGATTTTAGAAATTCACATAGGTTTTGTATGTGCAAGCTCTCCTTATAGGTATACTACTTTCACAGTTTTGCTGATTAGACACAAATCATGAAATGAATGGAATGTTAGAGAATAAAGAAAGAACAGAAGGAAGATTTTTCTTCCTTGTGCATATGGAAAGTTTGTTACTTCATGTACACTTTTTGTGATGCTAAAAGAGTAGAACTGAAGTCATGGTGAAAGATAGTTTGTTAGTTCCTATGTGGTGATTCAATTTATAAGGATCATCTTGCTTTTATCAAAATATAGGACCCTGGAGATGGGATAAGACAAAAAAACACTCTTCAAACACCATTTCAAATGTCAAATGTTTGGAAATTTGGAAGAGCACAAATGCCAAGGGTGCCTTCTTCCTTCTTAATTATGCAACCAGTCTATACCAATTTAAAATGTGAAAGGAGCTGGGCACTGTGGTGCACACCTATAATCCCAGAAACTGGGAGGCTGAGGCAGGAGGATCATGAGTTCAAAGCCAGCCTCAGCGATGGCAAGGTGCTAAGCAACTCTAAATAAAATACAAATTAGGGCTAGGAATGCAGCTCAGTGGTTCAGTGTCCCTGAGTTCAATCCCAGGTATTTAAAAATGTGAAAGGAAGAAAGAATGTGGATTAAGTGCTAAGAGAAAAATAATATCAGGAAAATTAGGTTTCTTCCAGCTATGTATACTAAGATTATCTGTATTTTCAGCAGAAATCAGGTTAGATTCAGTTCTTCAATGATGTGTTCTTTTATGATGCCACTTAAAATATGATTCAGCACAAACTCATGAAAAGGGGTAGGGACTGGGAGTGGTG